AGATTGAGAAAACAATGCTTTTTTTCTTTCATTCTAAATTATTCCTGAATGTGTCCCTTTTTTTTTTTTTTTTTTTTTGCATTTTCTAATGAGGCTTTGAGGTCAATACATGATACCTTTGGAATTCTGAGTATCAAATGTAATAATGTGGAACTCAGGACAAAAATAGTGTAATGAGCTGGCACTCTGGAGAGCAAATGTAGACACTTAGATTACGCTGCTCAGCCCTCTCGTGTCTTCAGTGACCTATAATTTCACTTTATTTTCTCTGCATCGGGAAAGACCAAAGTACTCCTGTCTTGTAATACCAAGGTGGGGTCATTCTGCTGCATTTGGAAAATAGAGAATTAAAGAGAAGAGCAGTGAGTCGAACTATTTGATTGTTTTGGTATTTATTTCTTATTCTCTTTTAGACTGCTTCCAAAATGTATTTACTGTTCATTGTTTTCATTGCTTTGAGAGCGCCAGCTCCTGCTTCCTGGCCTCTGACTTCTCTGGGATAATAACACGGGTGGGCAAAAGTAGGTTGACGGTTGTGAGTACATGGAACAGTTTATTCTTGTGTTGTTGTTTATTGATTATTGTATTATCGTCCATAGAAACCACTGTAAACCTACTTTTGCCCACGCCTGTATAGAGCCGGCCCTCTTGGCTGTGCTGAATTTGGTGAATTACTCAGACTCAGTTCCTGAGTTTGGGTCTTCCCAGGCAGTTTCAGTTTCTTGACCCTTGTTCAGTTGTTACATGCGCATCCCTGCTGTTTTGTTTCCAGATCTTTGTAGGCTGAATGCTTGCTTTCTGCAAAACAGTCACTTGGGTATCTCCCTTGCTTTCCCAAATGCATGCTGTCCACCGAAGCCGCCCTGTTCTGTTCGCACAGCCTTTCCTCAGCCCAAATGCAATGCATGTCCATGATTGGGGCTGCATGAAATTTTTGTATTTCTTCTCCCTCTAGTCATTCTTAATCAGCTCCTCAGAGCACTTGGCTCCCTTTCTTAGTTAATGAAGCTAATAGCAGAATTTTTCCAGGCAGGTACTTACCGAACACTTTTTTTTTTTTTAAGAAAAAAGTGTAAGGGAGGCAATAGGATCCATTAACAAGGGACCTTGTTTGGGTGAGGAGCATGTTTGTGATACCCATGCCTGTGGACACAGAGACCCCACTTCCATCTTGGCTGGACTGTGGGCTCTGTGAGGACAGGGGCCAGCCTGTCGTGGCCAGTACTTGAGCCCAGTCCCTAGCCCAGCACAATGTCTGGCCATGGTAGGCATGTGATAAATACTTGTTGAATAAATAGATTTCTAATAATTGGTTAACTTCACAAGTTGGAGGTTGTTTTCTGTTTGAAGAAATTCATGTGAGTTTGCATCAGAGGATATTGTACTTTGTTTCTAAAATCGACCATGTAGTGGAAGCTGATAGATCAGCAACGATGGTAAAATGGCGAAGGGCACGTGTTTCTTAGGTCTGTGGATTGTTTTTAGATTCTAAAGCCTTCTTTCCGAGCGTGTGTTCAGCTGAGTATTTTCTGACAGTTCAGCATTTCTAATCTCTGCCAAAGCTCCTGAGAGCCTGGCAGGTAATAATGTGCCTTAATATCACTTATTCTCTAATAATCAGATTGCCATGACATATCGATTTCTCTTGAGCACGCAGGTATCATCAGCTCCATGGTGACTTTCAAGAGTGTTTCTCATGGGCCAGTACAGCATCCCTCCCTTTTCCCAAGTTAGATGGTTTCTCTGGAACCAAATAGTTGGGGCTTTAACATAGGGCAGAATTTCTCAGTCTCAGCAGCGTTTGACATTTTGGGCTGGATGACTCTTCGTTGTTAAGGGCTACTCTGTGCAGTGTGGGGTGTTTAGCAGCATCCCAGGCTTCTACTCACTGGATCCAACTAGCACCACCCCTGGTGATCAAACAGACATCTAACTGTGGCCAGATGTCTCCAAGGTGACAGTTTGGTCCAGTTGAGAAGCACAAACATAGAGGGCTTTTTTTCTGAACCAATTGTGCCAGCACCAGAAAGCGATACTGGCAGAAGATGACCTGGTAATTACCTGTTCTTGAAAAAAGCATAGGCAGTTCTCATGGATGGGGGAATGAATATTCAGGAGTTCTCCCCAGTCTAAGCCAATCACCTAGACACGTGTTCTCTTTGTTCACTCCTCTCAGTGTTGTCTTTAGCTTACCCCTTTGTCTACATCTCATCCCATTCTATCCCTCTTAACAACCATTCCAGACTTTTAGACCTTCTAAAAATTTAAGTAGAGTTGGTATGCAATATTGTAGTAGTTTCAGGTATGCAGAATAGTGACTTATTATTTATATACCTTATAATGCAATCACCCCACTAAGTCTAGTGATCACCCGTCACTGTGCATACTCATCACACTATTATTGACTATTATTGAAATTTCAATTGAAATTGACAATTCAATTTCCTCTGAATTGATTAGGCTAAAATGCTAACTTAAGGTTGGGGATCTAAAATAGGCAAACCAACATTTTTTTTGGATCTGCCACATGTCAGCCACCTGCTAATAGGTACATTATCTGCTGTCACCCTCGGAGCCACCTCGAGAGAGAAGTTTTCTGTACTCATCCCAAATGAGAAAACAGGCGCACAGAGTCCCATGGCTAAGTGGTAGAGTTTGGAATAGTAAGCAGGTCTTCTGGCTTTGTTAAAATAACTTTTCATCATGCTGTTCAAATCTAACCACTATCTACTTGAAATTTAATAACTACTTGAAAATTTGATCAGAATTGATTTGAAACTGTGGAGATCCTGGCTTGTGACTAAGAATCACGTTAGAAGGTATATATGCAAAGTCCTAGAGACACAGAATGTTGAAAAGTGCAGATTTTAAACATCATTAGACAGTGCCCACTCTAAGATCATCATTCTGTATTTCAACAAGTAGTGTTGAGGGCCTGCTCTGCTCTCTCTGAACAGCAGCCAAGACAGACTAGGTCCAGGCCCTCGGAGAACTTATATTCTACTAGAGTGAATATCTAGTACACAAGTAAACAAATGAATCAATGGTGCAATTACAAATTGTGATAAGTTGTGGGAAGGGAGTGAGCAATGAGAGGAGATGGAGAATAATTGGTGAGGGGGAGTTTCTTTACATAAGGGTGGTCAGGGAAGTTGTCTTTGATCTTGACATCTTCCACAACACTGAAAATGCAGCACTTCCTGAAAAAGTGTTAGTACCCATCCTTGGGTACCTGGCACAGAAGAGGTGTTCTTGAACCTAAGTTGTGTGAAAAGACCATGATGTTTTTTCTTTGTAGACTCAGAGTCTAAAAACCTGTAGTAAGTGTATTAGAGTTTTTTCCCCCTATTGCAACAAATCCACAGAGTTAGAGACTTAAGGCAACACAAAGTTCATTAACTTACAGTCCTAGAGGCCATAAATCATCAAGGTATCAGCACGACCGTGTTTCTTCTGCAGGTTCTAGGGGAGAATGTGCTTGCCTTGTCCATCTTCTAGAGGCTGCCTGCACTCCTTGGCGCGTGGCCCTGTCCTTTTTTACAAAGCCAGCAGTGTAGCATCTTCCAATCCCTCTGCATCTGATCCTCCCGCCTCCCTTGATTTTAGTTTGGTCCACCCATAGCATCTTGGATAGTCTCCCCATTTTAAGATCCTTGATGTAATCACATCTACAAGTCCCTTTTGCTGTATAAATTCACCTATTCTCATATTCCAGGAGTTAGGTCACCTTTGGGGGCCGTGATCCAGCCTATCACAGAAAGCAATAAATGTTCATTTTATTTCCATACCCGCTTTATTTTACCGATGAAAATTTGAAATTAAATGAATTGCCTAAAATCACACACTTGGATATAGCTCTCTGGAGACCCTATCTAAATACATCATCTCTATTCTCTCTCTCTCCAGACTCTGTTCTTGTCCCTATAGCACTCTCCATTTCTTTGGTTATTTGTTTTGTTTTTTCTTATCACCACAAGGGGAAGAAGACATATCACTGTTACTCACCAAGGTACAGCCGTCACACAGCTCTGTGCCTGACATGTAGTGTGCCTGTCTCTAAAGATTTTTTTGAATGAACAAATGAATAGTCTTTTCTGTGCTTGGGTATATAGAACTCAAAAATCCTACAAATTATTCTGTACAAATTATTCAGTGACTTCTGATAGGTTAAAAATCCTTTACCATTTTTAAAGTATCAGAGGAAAAAGTGAACTTCAGTACTGGTCCATAATTGCAGTTGATAAAGCAGGGACCGATACCTGGCACTGTCCTTTCTCACGCACTAGTGCCCAACTTGTTTCTGCTGTGTTGCAGGGCTCAGTGCATTTGAACATGGTATCCTGTGTTTGGGACTCTGATATGCGGTGCATTAATATGTATTGAGATGTTAGCACCAAACATCGTCTGGGAGAGCTTCCGAATGGCTCACTTCCTGATTTCAGCTCATGTTTAGAGGAGAAGAAAGGCAGAAAATCTAACCGCGTGTTTTATTACTGCAGTGGGCTTCCTCTATTAGGCCTTAAATAAGTAACTGAGGAGGAAGAAAATCACAGTTCTTGCTGAACTATGCAAGTGGCATTTATGGGTTCACTTAGCAAGTTGTATGGCACTTAAATGAAATAAAAATTTAAAAGTATAGGTTATCTCCAGCATAGAGAGTGACTTCTTAGAAGTTTTAAATGGCAGTACCTTATGCTAAGCTAGTAAGTGAAGGGAAGCTAAACACAACACCTCTGGTTATTGTCGAAAGCAAGTTATATTCTGGAGGTGCTTTACTTTGCTTTGCATTGTTTTTAATCTCATCTAATGAAGACACTGTTTAGACTAATTTGTTTTATGTCTGACATCGTTTTCTGTTAGGAAAGAAATATCTGTCATTCAAGGTATTACTGAAACAATGAAAAAAATACAAAGCCAAGGGGAGCTGTCTTCCCTTTTACCGTTGCTTTTAAGATCCCAGATCCTTAACCTCATGTGTAATGTATTTACTTTGGTTCCAGTGGCCAAGGATGTCAATATCCTTTTTGATGAATTAGAAGCTGTCAACAGTCCTTGCAAAGATGACGATTCTCTCCTTCACCCTGGAAACCTGACCAGTACTTCAGATGAAGCTAGCAGATTGGAAGCAGGGGGCGAGGTAAGACTATGATTTCTTAAAAACACAAGTCTTGGTCTAGGCAAGAACCTGTAAGGCATATTCCAAGGGACTGTTTAATGTGATCATCTCATTGAACTGCATGTTCCTGGCACACGAAGGGCAGGTTGTATATTCTTTGATACCTTCCGTGGGCCTGGTCTATTTCAGCAGCCCTAAATCTACCTGGGCTCAAGGCAAACTGTCAGTGGTCTGGCACTTCCCATCTTACCTCTAAAGGCATTTTTTTTTATGCAGAGGAAGATTCTTAAAACCATCTGTTATTTTAAGAAAATTGACATTGCGGATGTCACTAATAAAATGTAAGCTTTACAAGGGTGGACTTTTTTGAGCAAATCCCCCCTCACCTAGAGCAGTGACACAGAATGGACTGGCCCTCAGCAGAGTGTGGGGCTCTCTCAGTTTCCATCTGCCTCTGTAATCTGGAAACTCATCGCAGTTGTAAATAAACCAGTCTGTTCATATGTCGTTTTGGAAAAAGAAGTATTTTGTTAGCGGCATTCACTGTTGCTCAGGTTGTGTCTCAGTGGAGTGTAGTATCTCCTTTGTATATGCACTGGGTGTAAGTAATAGGAATATAGAATGAGTCATTTATTTGCTGCATATTCTTAATATTTTTTGTTATTCCAGAGCCAGTTTGCCATTGCAAGGGCCACAGGGAACGTTGTTTCTTTCTACCAAGTTTCCTAGATTTCTCCCTGCAAACATCACATGGTACTACTATCCATATATTTCCCTCTTAAGTACAAAAGTCATTTTGTCATCATCATCTTCACACAGATAGCTTGATGCCATAATGTGGACAAAAGGCGGGATTGTGAAAGGGACCTCAATAAGCAACTAGTCTCATGCCCTTGATTTAGAAGGGGAAACGTTCTGAGAAAGGTTAGGGTCTTGCTAACCCTCCTCCTGACCCCTTGGCAGAAACCCGGTTATTACAGGCAGGTGCTGATGTGCTAAATCTATAGGCTAGTTCCCTTGCTTGGCAAATTATTAAGAAGGTGTTTACTTGGGTAGACTTCTGAATAGCTCTTAAGGCAAAAGCCAAAGATTGGTCATCAGTTGTAGATGTCCCTGGTAACAGTGAGAATTGGTCATCAGTTGTAGATGTCCCTGGTAACAGTGAGAATCGGTCATCAGCTGTAGATGTCCCTGGTAACAGTGAGAATTGGTCATCAGTTATAGATGTCCCTGGTAACAGTGAGAATTGGTCATCAGTTGTAGATGTCCCTGGTAACAGTGAGAATTGGTCATCAGTTGTAGATGTCCCTGGTAACAGTGAGAATTGGTCATCAGCTGTAGATGTCCCTGGTAACAGACATTTCCATTTCTCCTGGCTGAATTGTTGCTTTTAGATGAGGTTGCATGCATGGAGCTTGTGTGCAAGAGTGTGGATTCTAGCAGTGGCCTGTTGGTCTGGCATGTTTGCCTTCATCCTGTTATTTGGAAACTGATGTATACTGTGGCCTAGAGAAAAGATAGCCCCCCGTTTTACTTGCTAGTTTACGGACATGTTTTGAAAATCTGTCAGCCTGAGAAACCCGGCGGTGAAAGACAAATGCCATATGATCTCACGTTTAACAGGAACCTAATCACAAAACAAACAAACAAACAAGGAAAATATAACCAAAGACACTGAAATTGAGAACAGGCTGACAGTGACCAGAGGGGAGGGAATTTCAGGGGAAAAGGATGAAGGGTTTTGCAGGAACAAGTATAAAGGACACATGGACAGTAATGGTGGGGGGTGGGGAGGGCTGGGGGTTGGGATGGGGTGGGGGGAAAAGGCAGAAAACTACTTGAACAACAATTAAACACACACACACACACACACAAATGACACCTACTGTTTTTCATCTTTAAGTTTTATAAGATGTGGTCACTGCAATATAATATGTGTAATTTATATGTAAGCCATGAGCCTAATCATAAAATGAACACCTTGAACCACCATCCAACCTATAAATTAGGATGGTGTTTCTCAAATTATGTGAAAATAATTTGGCCTAATTGTAGGTAACTAACCCCAACTGTTTTTTAATGGAATGGAAAATTAATATCGGTGTATATGCAAACGCAAAGGATATGTATTATTTTGTAAAACTTTTGTCTCATTTTGTGTATGTTTGCATATAGACACATATCACAAAGTAAAATTTGTTTCTTGTTATAGGCAAAAAAATTCAAGAAACATTGAACTAGAATATTACCCAAACCTTTAAAGCTACAGACGATCCCATTTCTCAACCCCACAATAGACACTGTCTTCCTAAATTTTTGTGTTTTTATTATCTTGCTCTACAAATAGTTTTGCCACGTATGTATATAATCTTAACAGCTTCTTTTTAGATTTATTTAGTGTTTTATAAAAACACTAAATGGTATCATGCACTGTGAAATCTTCTGTGACTTGGGGTTTATTTCTGTCAGTGTTGCCTTTAAGATTTATGCTTATTATTAGATGCAGCTACAGTTCATTCACATTCAGTGCTGTATAAATATTCCATTATATGAATACTCTACACTTTATGTATTTACCTGTTCATGGACATTTGAATTGGATTCAGTTTTTTATTTCCTGCTCTTATAAATGATTCTGCTATGAATATTCGTATACATGCCTCCTTGTTGCCTTATCAAAAATTTCTCTAGAATTATATGTTATGCAAATGTTCAGTTTTATAAGATGACACCAGTGTTTTCCCGACTAAGTGTATCCGTTTTCACTCTCACTTGTAGAATATGAGAATTCTCAGTCTACATACCCTTGCCAACATTGGACGTGGTTAGGTGGCCTAAGTTTTGGCCAACTGACTCAATGCTTTTTCCCATTTTTATTTTGTACCTTCTTGTTTACGTTTTTAATGAATAAAAAATGTATTTGTGCTAAAACACAAGAAAATTCATTTAGTTTAAATTGTCATCTACCACTACTCATCCAAGGCTCGGCTTTGCGAGTGTCTTACACCGGCCCCTATTTTTCCGTGTGCAGACAGTGCGGGAAAAGAGCAAGTCAAATGGACTCTACTTCAGAGATGGGAAGTGTCGAATCGACTACATTCTTGTGTACAGAAAATCCAGCCCCCAGACTGAAAAGAGAGAAGTTTTTGAAAGAAATATCAGAGCAGAAGGAATACAAATGGAGAAAGAGGTAAATAGTTTTGCTTGGGTGATAAAAATATAAATATACATCAGTCTCAGCAAGATGCAATTTGAAAAATAAGCAGTTAGTCATTATGTCAACTGAATGTTTTATTTGGTCAGAGTTTGCCAACCTCCAGTGTTTGCAGAATGTTCCAGCAATTAGGCTTTCACAGCACAGTTTGCTCTGAGAGCATTTTAATGCCAAATGATTTTCTGAAAATCACAATACTCTGTTTCATTGGAATGGATTGTTTCAAAGTTATAATTTACTTGACTTCCTTCATCGGTTGCTTCTCTATGTGAATGGAGCTCTCTAGTGTCATGGATCAAGGAGAACTTCGGGTGAAATGTAGTCACACCCACACTGGAGGCTGATTTTACATTTCAGGAAACCTCTTGAGCCCGGCCATCCTCACACACTAGAAGAGACTGGCCGATTTGGCCCTAAACCACTGGAACTTAAAAAATGGCTCCAGTTTTAAGAAACAGTGAGGCTGTTCTTATTGTGTTTCAAGACTCAAGTTACCTTACCAGTATTCTCTCTTCCCTTCTTGCCATCCTCTCGGTGTAGGGAGTTTTAAAGAGCAATTTAGTGAGGAAGGTACAAGAGGTCCAGCCAAGCCTCTGCTTATAACACACAGTGAGATGACTGTGTACCCAGAAAGACTGTGCGCATGTGCAGAACTTGGTCCTGGTAGAAGTAACTCTTCTCAGGTTTTCCCTAAATATTGTACAAAGATTCTGGACCTTTTCCTAGTCAATCAGAAGAACATATTGGCAGTGAAATTTTTTTGGTTCTGATGATGCTCCTCAAGGCTGAGGGGATAGAGCTTTGAAATCAAATATCCAGGTTTCTCCTGGTAGGATGCAGGTTAAATACTGACCCTTCAGATAAATGGAATTTTCTTCAGGTTTGTTAGACTTGTCTCAACTCTGGAGGATTTATAAAGCAAGCATATTTTTCTGATTGTGTCCAGAAAGAGAATTAAAAAAAAATGAAATGAGTGTGGTCTTAAGAGTCTTGTTCTTAGGAAAGTGGAACAAATTTGCTCAAAGGTCTGCCTCAGTTGGAGGTTTCTCTGAGCAACAAAATTAAATATATCTGTTTTTTTAAGTTCTTATCGAGGCGACAGAGAGTATACTCTCTTCCCTTAACATTGTAGTACATTGTTTTTTACCTTAAAATTTATTTCTTCATCTTTTATTCTTACTGTTAAATTTCAGGATTTTTATATAAAGAAATATGAGCTCTGAATTGCCACACGATCCTAAATAATAGCAGCTCTTTCTCCGATCCATTCTGAGTCATTCAAAATTTCAATTCTGATCAACACTAGGTAGCTTTACTCAATTAACCAAACATTTATAGTTTAAGTTTTGTGACCATTTATATTTTAAGTTCCATGACTATTTATTTCTATGTGGGTCTTTACAATGTCATTTCAGGGCTTATTAGTTAACACTCAAAAAGCATAATACTTTGAAAAATAATATACATGACTGAAGAGATGACAAATCTCTTACGTGTGCCGTAAAATATCTAGACTACAGTATTCATCTATCAGAATTAGGGGCAGACTATAAGTCTTAAATTTTTTAATAGCTCAGTACTCTTTTAATGTATACTAGGGAAAAAATAGCAATTGGGAAAAGGGTCATGTCCCCATATGGCAAAAGTTCGTAGAAATATTCTACACATCTCTCCCTCTCCTTCCCTCCAAAGGTTCTTTTCTGAGTGGCAGTGTCCCTGTTCTCCTTTATCACACAGTCTTCTGTCGAGTACCAACAGCTAGCAACCTTCTTCCCAAGCAGCCTTTCCCAATGCTGGTTTCCGTCTTTCCTGCCGCCCACACACTTTGCATCAGTGGCACAACTGGCTATGACTCAGCGTCTGAGCTCTGCTGTGCCTCTCTCTCAGCCTCAGCCAGCTCAGCAAGAAGAGGGGTCCTTGCAGGTTAGGAAGCAGCAGGAAATTATAGATAAATTACATTTTTCCTGTCACAAATAATTAAAGTAACGTCCCTTGGTTAAACAATAAACTTGAATCTACGTGGTGTTACTAGATTTAGAAACCATCCGAAGCACTCTTCTTTACATCAAGTGTCTTATAAATGGCTGCAATGGAGATACAATTTGAATGACTATTTCAGCTTCCAGAAGTTACTCCAGCCTTTTACACATAGAGCAAAGAAGTTATTTCAAGTGGAAAAGAAAAAGAAAGAACACCCAGGAAGCTTACTGTGAATCTGTGTACATCCGAAATGATTAACACACTAAGTACATTTTATGAATTACTAGTATCCTCTTCATTAGCTGTGTATCTTGATGTCCAAAAATTATGTGAAACATGTTATACAGACTTTGAGCTTTATGATTCCAAATGGGCAAAGGCAGGCTCTGTGGTTGAACAGTTTGACATTAAGAGAATCCTTATCTCTTTTAACATCGAATGGCAGGAAGCACAACTAGGAGGATCTTTATGTTGTGATAAGAGTGAGCATGGACATCATCAAATTTAATCTTTCTTAAAGCGTTAGCCGCAGTCTGATTGGTCAGCAGGTCCATGCTTGCTTTGGCCCCCTGGGTCTTTGGTGTTCTAGAACTCATATTAGCCCAGAGAAAAAGCAAGGGAACACCAAGTGATTTGCTTCTTGGGGTCTGTTTAAAGAGATCTCCTTCCTAAGGCTACACACATACATATTAATTCACAATTTCTGTTTTAGATATGTCTGATTTTTAATTTTATGTCCATCATAAATACTTTTGTACCTATCTCAAGATCATTATTATTAATATAAATTTACCTTTTCTTGCATATAATTGTCACATCGTGGACAACTTTTGCATTATGTAGCATGTGTGAATAGCAGTTACATTAATGGAGCAGATTCTTCCTCTTTAGAGTCATGCAGAACATGGGAGGAAACCCATATCATTATAGTCATTACAAAATAACTATAATTAGATCAATCATACCATCTTGATGATAGTCCAGATTCATTCAACAAATATTTACTGTGCACTCATTCTATGCCGGACACTGCTTTAAGCACTAAGAACTCAGCAATGAATAAAACAGATAAAAACCCCTGCCCTGTTGGAACTTACATTCAAAGTAAATAAGTAAATATATATATTATATCAATATTTGCTAAGGGGAATAAAGTAAAGCAGAAAGTGTTGCAAGGGACTTACAATTTTATAAAAGTTGGCAAAGGTGAGCCTCTCTTTCCGGGAACGAGAACAGTTAGTGCAAAGGCCCTGAGGCACATGGAACAGTGAGGAGGCTAGTATGACAGGATTTGACTGGGAAAGGTGGATAATAGTAAGAAATTACCCCAGAGGGGCAACGTAAGCCAGATGACATCAGGACTTAGTGGTCAGTGGGGAACTTTAGCTTTTCTCTGAGCGATACCAGAAATCCTCAGATAGTTTTGAGCGGAGGCATAAGAAGATCTGGTTTCTATTATATTAGGGTCGATCTGGTTCTTAGTGACACTAGTCTGGGAGAAGAGTAGAGGGGGCAAAGGCAGAAGCAGGGATATCAGGATTTTTTTTTGCAAGAATCCAGAAAAGAGATGATGCTTTGGTAGCTTGGTTAAACACACAGCAGAGGAGAGGTTCAGAAGAGTAGAAAGTAGAACTTCTGGGAATGATAGATAGATTAAATCAGTTATGCAAGAGAGGAATCACAGGCTATTCATGTGTTATATGCTTTTCATTTAAAGAGTTAATGGGAAGAATTTGCCATTTACAGGAATGCAGAGGGCAGTGGGCCCCCTTGTAGACATGTTAAGTTTGAGGTGTCCCAGTGGTGGAGATGTTGAGTAGGATGGAAGAGTCTAGAAGGCAGAGAGAAATCTGGGCTGGAAATGCACATTTGGATGAAATCACCAAAGGAACAGCCACAAATAGAAAAGAGACCCCAATATTGAGCAGTGGAACACCCCAGTGTTATGAATTTGGAGGACAGAGGAGTCAACAGAAAGGAGCCGGGAGGAAACCTGGAGGGTGTGGTACCTGGAGGAAGGTGTTTCAAGGGGAAGGGAGGGATCGATTCTGTCAAATGCTGCTGATGGGGTGAGTGAGATGAAGACTGGAAACTTCGCCATTGACTTTAGCAACGTGGAAGGTTTTCGTGAGCTGGGCAAGAGAAATTTCTCTGGAGAGGCTGAAGCAGAACCATGCTTAAAGAGTGTTCAAGAAAGAGTGGGAGGAGAAATTTTGTAGACAGAAAATATAGATCTTCGAAAGGGGCTCACTATAAAGGAAAATAGAAAAGTGGGGTGACAGCTGGAGTAAGAAGTTGGGTCACAAAAGAGTTCTTTCTGTTTAAGGTGGGAGAGAGAACAGCGTGTTTTCACACTAATAGAAATCACTTATTTGAGAGGCAAAATGGATGTAGAAGAGCAAAGTAAAAATTTTGGGGAACAATGTCCTTGAAGCAATAAGAAAAGAATGACAAGTTCCTCCCCTTGCATGGACCCACCTGCCCGTGTCTGTGCCCACAAGTGCAGCCTCCCCTCCTCTGGTGCTGAGGGTGTCCTACCCATGCTCCTAGCGAAGGCCAGCCCTTTGCTTTGGGCACTAGACCTCATTCTGTCAGTCCCAATCAAGGACATTTCCCCCAAAGAGAGAGAAGGAGCTTTAGAAGCAGAAATGCAGGAAATAATGCAATCTGTCAAAAACAGTTTGCATCTGTTTTTACTCGTGTCTCGGAGGGATTGGAAATCTAACTGCAGTAAACACATGCCCAGCACTCAAGGCTGGGTGTCTAGGGCATTTTTCTTTGAGATGATGACAAAGTAGTACTATTAAGATATTCACTCTTGCATTTATTAATTACTTACTATTATTATTGCCATTTTGTAAACGAGACAACTGAGGCCAAGCAGTAACTCACCCCAGGGACAAGTTCAGAAATGAAGCCAGGATTAAAACCTGAGCACCCTCACTCTTTCCTCTTGTGTTGCGTTGATTCCTGGTGTCTGCAGATGAATCTCTGGG